GGTGTTAGCCACCCTCCCAGTTTGGTGTCATCTGCAAATTTGATCAGGATGCCCTTGAGTCCATCATCCAAGTCGTTGATAAAGATGTTGAATAAGACCGGGCCCAAGACAGAACCCTGTGGCACCCCACTAGTCACTCTTCTCCAGGATGAAGAGGAACCATATATAGAAATATAGGAGAGTCTCGCATAAACAATTAGGAGCAGTGAGACAGCAAGAATGAGGTGCTGAGCCGTAGGGAAGATTCAAGATGGATGAACTGGGAGAGGCCTACAGAGAGAAGCAAGCTTTCAAACATTTCACAGATTCAAACTGCCATTCTTAAGATATTTGTGATTCTTAAGATTTACTATGGGTTTTGCAAAGCTAAGCAGAAGAACAATATCTCACTGTGAGCCTCACAGATCAACTCAGTGCACCTGCAAACAAAGATCAATGTGTGAAACAAATGTATTTTTTATTTCCATTTGAAATGCTTTACGTATTCTAGAGGATGGTGTGTAAAATACATTAGGCCTGGAAGTAGTTCTCCCCTTTGTGCATAATATAATGGAATAATATGAACATGCGTATAAGTATGGATTTCAGAATTACTTACACTTCTGACTGGCTATATAATCAAACATGGAGACACAAGTTTCACCTTCAAGAACAATTTTCAGAGAACAACTCCTGCTTCCTTGAGTGTATAAGGCAAGTACTTCTTCAGAACTCAACCTTGGCAAGTGACCTCAATGTAAAACAGTTCCCTTCTCTTGTTCAACTTTGGAAAGAGCATAAATACCTACAGTCAGTGTTCTGTCGGCATGTACCAGGTGTCTAGTGAAGATGTGTTGTTCTGGTTTTAGTGAAGTGCACTTAAGGTGCATCAACAAGGAACAACGTGTTATGATTTAGGCACATGGTGTAGGTGTCAAGTTATTCTGAGTGGATAAAATCCTCACCAGGACATTGCAGGCAGAAAATACTTACAATCATGAACCGTTCCAAATGGAAGGAGTTGACTTGTAGTGTGCCATGGTATTAGTATTGATCCTGTTTGCTTAAAGACCTGAAAGAAGGAAAATGCAGCACGGCGAGGAAAATGTGCTGATGATACAAAATGGAGGGAGCTTTGCAAGTACAGAGCAGAAAAGCAATAAAACTTGCAATAACTCAGAGAGACTAGAATCATGGACAGATAAGTGGCTTATGTAATTCAATTTGGCGAAAAGTAAGATAATGAATCTCAGGACAAAATAACTAGAAAGAGGGCTATATCTTGAATGGCAGAGTGGCGGCAGCTGAAATGACTGGTATTTTAACATTCTGTTCCAGGAAGTAGTTCATTGTAAATTCAGATTTTTAAGAAGTGATATAGCACCACCAAAAAAATAAATAAATAAAGGATTGTCCCATTGTTGTTTCTCAATGTCAAAAGCACAAAGCGCTGTCGGGGTGGGGGGCAGGAGAGGAGGTGGAGAAAGGAGAACATAGAACTAATATTTTGGATCGGGGGGGGACAGCAAACTGGGTGCTGAGCTGGAATTGTCTTTCCTGAGTTCTCGTGTGACACTTCGGTAGGTATGGGTTTTATGTTCCCAGCTCAAAATAGGAGGCAACGAAAGAGTGGCTCTGAGAGTGCTTTACTCCAGTCTGCAATCTCCCATCAAATACTATGGTGCCTCCGGTTACGAACTTAATTTGTTCCGGAGGTCCGTTCTTAACCTGAAACCGTTGTTAACCTGAGGTACCACTTTAGCTAATGGGGCCTCCCGCTGCCACCACCCTGTCGCCGCACGATTTCTGTTCTCATCCTGAAGCAAAGTTCTTAACCCAAGGTACTATTTCCGGGTTAGCGGAGTCTGTAACCTGGTATTTGTAACCCAAGGTGTCTGTAACCCCGAGGTACCACTGTACTTCCAAGGCACCAACCATTACCAAAGCACTGACAGGGTACTTATAAAAAGAAAAGTTCAAAAAAAGAGGTATACAATAGCAGTACTAGCAGTAATGACAATGGGTGATATTTAGCTGAGCTCAAGTCAGAATAGAGCCACTGAAATGAATGAACATGGCTAAATTGGGTCCATTAATTTCTGTGCTATATCCACAGAACCTCCTGAATTTGTCTCCTAGTGCTGATTGTGGTAGGGAATCTGCTTTAGAACAGATCTGCTGTATCACGTTTGTCTAGTAGAAGTTGAAAAGCGGTAACCTCCATTTTGAGTATCAGACTTGGGTACAATAAGGTGCAAATCCTCCTATCAGTTTTATTGGTTTTGCTATATACGCCTTTCACACAGTGTATGTTTTCAGCTTTCAATATACTCAATATATATCAGCCATCCTAATCGTCTCCTCTGATTCAACATGACACAGACCTGCGATATATTTCTACAGTTAGAAAGGCAAAAAGCCACAGATACCCCCAGGCATAACCTTCAGGTAACATATGTACCTATCAGAGATTCTGGAAAATAGCCGTGTGTGTTATGCTTGCAAGAGTGCCTTTTTCCCCTTTCAGTTTGAAGGTGGATGGTACAGAAAAGATGTGGAAGATAGAGAGCATCTGTTATTTGGCTTCTATTTTCATTCTTACAGAGGTAGTCTTTCCCCTTTGACAATGGTATCAGAGGTACAATTCAAAGTTAAAAGAAATTCATACTCGTGGGAATCCTGTTAATCACTCACAGCTGTTAATTTTGACAGCCAATCTTTCCTGGTATCCTGGGAAGGTTTTCAAAAGTGCTGTTGGTATGAGCTTTCAGGTTTATAGTTTAAAATTTATAGATTGCAAGATTTCAAAGAAACCTTCAAAGCATTGCTAGAATTTGTGCTCTAAAAGTTCTGAAAGTAAATGATCAAAGAAAATAATCTAGCTTTTAAGGAGTGTCATGATTTGAAGTGCCTTGTTCATTACATTTAAGCATTTTTGTTAGCACTTCCTGGATGACACCTCAGAAGGAGCAGGGATGACTGGAAAAGGCCGTGGTTTGCTTGGAGGCATCATGGTACTGGGAGGTACTTATGAGGTCATAGGTCTAGGTATTAGCCTACACAAATAACTGATTTTGACTCCAAATTCATTTTCTGGATGTCCAACAAATATTTTAATTTATGAATCCAAGCTGGCAAGAAATTTGTGCATCCCTATTTTATACCAGTAGGGAATCAACACAGCTGCAACAGCACTTTTGATAACAAATGTAAGAACGGCTAAACAAAGAGACACACAAAGACAACTAAAAGTTATGCCCAATTATTCCTCCATCTTACAAATACCTGGGATTACAGCTTTCCTCATTCAAAATTCTGATCTTGGCTTCCAGTAGATGTACAAAGAAATCAAGAACAAGAGGACTAAACAACTAATTTGTGCTTCACTTCCTATTTCTTTATGTTGTTTATTCATCATGGGTCATTAGCTATATTTAATCACTCTTTTGAAATAACTGTATATTACAATTTAGACTATTCATGCCTAGCAGCTTTCCCCAATTTAATGACTTAATTAAGTAATTATTACATGTTTACATGAGCAGGCCCTGTTAGCATCAATGGAACAGCTCACATGAGTGCTGGATTCTCATGGGAGCAAACATTTGTTAGGGTTTCTTTTCAAATTCCTTCCAGTATCGGGGTCATCAGTACACAGTGGTACCTCAGGTTAAGAACTTAATTTGTTCTGGAGGTCCATTCTTAACCTGAAACTGTTCTTAACCTGAGGTACTGCTTTAGCTAATGGGGCCTCCTGCTGCTGCTGCGCCACCACCGTGCGATTTCTGTTCTCATCCTGAAGCAAAGTTCTTAACCCGAGGTACAATTTCTGGGTTAACGGAGTCTGTAACCTGAAGCGTCTGTAACCCGAGGTACCACTGTATACACAATTCTTTTTTTATATAAGAACATTTTGTAAGAGCACTGTTAGGGTTTTAAATTAATATCCTGCCTTTGATTCTGAACATTTGGCAGTCAGCGCTATGACTTGATTATTCATCTGGTTCTCTGGAGATTTCTAAGAAAGTTGGAGATATTAGTTATTACACACTGTGCTAGTCATAGAGCAATGCATCAGATGAAGTAACCTACTCTAAGAAGTACCATGAGGAAAGGGGTGGGGAATTGGTGAAGGCCTGAACTGATGCAGAAACACCAAGAAGTAGGGTAGGAGCAACATTTGTCCTCCGCTCCAGGCAGCAAAATGTCTTGGGTTGGCACTGGGTGGTTGTCAAAAGATAGGCAGACATATCCTTCCCTCTCTACTTTGCAATGTAGTCATTATGGTCTTCAAGAGGCAGAACACATTTCAAGCCCTTGAGATCACCCAGTCCCTCAATCAAGACATTTGGCAGCACGAGGTATCCCTACACAGGAAGACCCAATCCACAGGAAATCAGATTTGCATGCAATTCCTCTACTCTGTCCTCGAGGAGTCACTTTGGCATGCTTTGTGTTGGAATGCAGTTACAATAACTCACTGTAGCATAAAACTCAGCCCATGGGCCACATTTTCCGGCATAAGTAAAATGGGAAGCACAGTTTCGGCTGCACTGGGATCACTCTCCATGGATGCCAAAGAATAAGAGTTTGGACTTGATATCCCGCCTTTCACTCCCCTTAAGGAGTCTCAAAGTGGCTAAGAATCTCCTTTCCCTTCCTCCCCCACAACAAACACTCTGTGAGGTGAGTGAGGCTGAGAGACTTCAGAGAAATGTGACTAGCCCAAGGTCACCCAGCAGCTGCATGTGGAGGAGCGGAGACACGAACCCAGTTCACCAGATTTACGAGTCCACTGCTCTTAACCACTACACCACACGGGCTCTCAACAGATCACTGCTATTAGGTGCTCAGAGACAGTGAACAGGCTTTCACTTGCCTTCTCCTTCCCAGTGGTCCTGGGATCTTGGATGTGTTGGGAGCTGGCAGGGGGTGGGAAAGTGTGAGAGGCAATGGGTGAATAAGAGTGTGTAGAGAAAGGAAATGCCAACCCTAGCCCAACCCACCTCACCTGGTTCCTCGCCTGGGATAGGTCAGTCAGCAGAGCATGGGACTCTTAATCTCAGAGTTGTGGGTTCAAGTCCTGTGTTGGGCAAGAGATTTCTCCACTGCAGGGAGTTGGACTAGATGACCCTCATGGTTCCTTCCAGCTCTATTATTCTGTGAAGGCTTTCTTCAGACCAACCCAAAAAGCACCCAACTGGCAACCACTGCCACATGGGGCCCTCAGAGACAAAAGAGCCGTCCGTCGTTCATGGCTTGTATTACTGGTAGAGTGTGATATATGTGCATTTGTATACAAACTAGAAAATACTGGTGGTGCTATAGAGGAAAATAATAAAACACACAAGACAACCAAAGTGAAATATATAGCTTAAACCAGGCAGTGTGATTTGTCTTCCCTGTTTAAAATCACTACATCTTGGTGGCAGGTATGAGTAAACATTACTAGTAAAGGGGATATTTGTGAAGCTGGAAATAATAATGACTGGCATTTCTATAGCCTTTTTTCATTCAAAGCCTTCTAACAAGCTTCACATAATATTGATTTACAAATGCCGAACCCAGCCCTGCAAACATTTCAGCACATGAGTATTCTGACATGCCCGGCTAGTGCAGTCACAGTCAATAAGAAGACTAGTTGTGCCAATAGTTACTCACATGCTGGCGCTGATAGGGATGTAGAACGGAAGAGCCATACATCTGAGATAGCACAGCAGCAAGCCTCCACAGCAGATCTCAAATGAAGCTAACGAATCTTACACTCCAGGGATCATACGGAGGGTGACTTTATAATTACCCAAATTGAATGAGCCTTAAAATATGGCACCATTTAATTATACAGCCCTATCAGCACCTCCAGCGTATGACCTTACGCACATCCGTGGAGTCAGACAGTGCAAAGCAATTTAATACTCTAGCTGATCGCATTTGTGGGTAAAGTTTGAGCCACTCTCGAGAAGAGAGAGAAGATGGACCATATATAATTCCACAGCCTTGTATGGAATGAGATAAGACAGTTTGGACAAATGAACCTATTACCACTTCTCCTATTAATAACATTAATTTTATTAAAATGGTAATCATCATTTAAAATTGCACCACTGGGAGATGAGAAGCAAAGTGCTGCAGTGCCATCTGCTGGTCGTATAGCATAAGGACACCATGCCAATGGAATCACAACTTGCCCATTGTCAGTATCTCAGGCTATGGCTGTGGGTTGCAAACAGATGCAAAATATTTGCATTACTAAGAGTTCTTGCAGCCTAGCCTCACTCTGTAATGAAATGTGGATTTTTGTTAGGAGGAATAGATTCATTCCAACTGATGCCTGCTATGGGATGCAAGAACGGCTATACGTGTATGTCTTTCCAAAAACAATGTTAGTCTATTTAACAAGAAAGATAAAATGGTTAAGTGCAGAGTTTGGTGTCTTTATGTTACCTCAATAGGATAGGTCAGGTTTTATGAATGCCTTATTTGAACTTTTAAATTACATTTGAAGAAAAGAATTAAAAGCAAAATGAATTCCCATAATTTAAGACAAAAGCACTTTTTAAGTAAAGGGCAGTATCAGATTATATAATGACTGTTCTTCAGGAGTATCTCTACTCAGTTCACCAATTCAAATAACTGACAATACAATCATATATACATGTGTTTCCGTGGCCAGAAGCGGTTTGGTCATGATGGCCACATGACCTGGAAAGCTGTCTGCAGACAAACGTGGGCTCCTGAAAACCAAGATGAGTGCTGCACCCCATAGAATTCAATTGGACTTAACCATTCAGGGGTCTTTTACCTTTACTTTTACCTTGCATGCATAAGATCCACTGTGTTCAAATGGGACTTATTGCCAGCCAGGTGAGAGAGCACAGGATTGTAGCCTGACTGTACCATTGTGTTATTCCATTAAACAGGCCTATTTTCTAAATTCTAAAGTCCCCAACCCCTTTGCTTTTAAAAAAAGAAGGCAGATGAATGTTTCCTCCCTACTTATAGTATTGAAAGTATGGCAAAAAATCAAGTATGGTTTTGTGGATATATATTTTTTCTTCCAGGCCTTTCTTGGTTTTCAAAAAGAAAACTTTGCCTGGGTACTCAAACATGCACCATGGGATCAGTTTTTGTTGGAAAATGTTTACTGCAGCATATTGTATTGGAGTAAAAAAAGGGGGGGGGTACCTCACATGTAAAGAATCATTGAAAGCAGTTATTATAAGATTTGGAACATTGTGTCTTCACTATGCTGATGACACTTAGCTCTGTTTCTCTGTAACACTTGAATCAGGACTGGGTGTGTAAATCCTGAGGCAATGTCTGGATGTGGGCCAATAAACTGAGTCTGAATCCTAGCAAAATGGAGGCTCTTTGGTTAGGTGTTTCTTGGGTCTGGAAAACTGGCCAGTTGCCTGTTCTGGATGGGGTTGCACTCCCTTTCTAAGAGCAGGTTCATATTCTGAAGGTGATTGTAGATTCATCTTTATCATGAGATGCTCAAGGGGACTCTTTCTACCAGCTTTGGCTGGTACACTAACTGCAGCCATTCCTGGAGGAGGATAATCTGGACACAGCAATCCATGCATTAGTTTCCTTAAAATTTGATTGTCACAGTGTACTCTATTTGGGGCTGTCCGTAAGGAAATTTTTGTCAGATAGTTTCCTCAATACGCGGCAGGAATGTAAAATGCTGGGCCTGCCAAAATCTACCTGATGTACACAATTTTACAGTGACATCCCAAGGGACTTTGCTGTCTAATACAGAGCTCAGTCGATCCCCCTTCTCACTTTATAAAGTTTTTGTGCAGGACTCAGTTAACAGTCTGTCCTGTTTCTGCCTGAAGCATGTCATCATCATCATCATCATCATTTATTATTATTAACATTTTTGCATAACAGAACCAGACCTGCAACCTCTTAGAGTTGCAAGAACTTTGCCCTTTATCACATCTGGCCACTTGTCTTTTTGACTCCAAACATTAGTCAGTCAGCAGCACAATATTATTTCAATTGTCATTTTAAAAAAACTGATCTGAGAGTTTAAGAACAACAATATTATTTATGTTTTCTTCTAACACCTTTTGAGGTTTCTCTGTGGCCATAACAACATTCCTTCTTCAATGAAACTCTCCAGTTACTCCATTCTTACCTTCTTTTCATTATCTCCTGGGCTATCCATTCAGGATCCCCCCAACCCTTATTCCTAGGGAAAGAGTGATTCATCTGCTCAGGGAGATTTATAGCATGGGTTTTTCCCCTGTGTTGTTGTGCTTTTTGCAGTAAGTCTTTATTATCTAATAATGATGGCTTGCAAATTAAATTAGTTTTTAATGGCATAGTTAAATTCTAATTTATGTTTTGGAGCTTTGTTTAATTCATTTAGTTGTAATGCAATTGCTTTCTTGCTATTACCTTACATTACACAGAGTTTGGTGCCGGAGAGAAGCAAATAGAACTGCTGTAACTCTTTGGGATTTGTTAGACATCCTAGATACTCATAATCATTAGAACATGATTCATCGTTAATTATTATTATTATTAATTTAATTTATATACTGCCCTATACCCAGAGGTCTCAGGACGGTTCTATCCCAAAATATGGCCGTGTCACATGTGAACACCCCCCAACCTTGACAATCTGATTGCCTGATCAGAATGCCGCAATGAAATAGCATTACTTAAAAATCAGGGGTGAGTTTCAACCCTTGAGAAAACCTGAACAGACTGTTTCAATCATGTGAGAAAATGCTTTTCAGAGAAGCTTTGTAGCTTAATTTGAGACAGGGTTTGCCAAGTGCTAGAGGGTCAGCTTTGAAAGATGTGAAGGAACAACAATGAAGAACAAGACATCCGTAGGCTGCCATCAAATTTTGCCGAAACCACCATTCAAGATGGATTTTCAAGGTTCCTGCTTAGGCAAAATATGAGGAGTTCTGAGGGACAATGAGAAATGACCATGTTTCAGTGACATGGCCTCTGGTTTGCAGGCAGAAGGCTCCTTTTTCAGTCCCTGGCATCTTTAGTTAAAAGGACCCGGGAGCAGGTTCTCGTAAGGCGGAGCTCTTACCATCTGCTCCCTGGAAAAGCCAGGTATCACACCAAAGAACTTCTCTGTACAATGTGATCTACCACTGAGTTCCTTTCTTATGAACACATCCCAATGGCAAACAGAGAGGTGCTTTGGGTTCCCAAGGCACTCACATGCAGGCCATTAGCTAGTGTGAACCAATCCTATGAGTCCTACCTCAGATCTTACTGCAAAAATGGACATTGGGGAAAATATTACTGATATGCACCACGTAAAATCATAGGGCTGAAAAGATTTCCAAAGAGTTCCATCTATTCCAAAGCATTCTGTAGAACAGCACTTACTATTTATTCTTGGATCTGAGATGATTTTAGTCATCAAAATGCACATGTATTTCTAAAAATAGTTTTGTCTCAGTAATGCACATTGTCAAAACTGTTAAAGATTCTCTGAAAGTGCACTGGCAACCACACTGCAGTCAGTCATATTTGTATTATAAAAGTTTTGTATTTATCTAAAAGTTCTGTATTTCCATTCCTAGAATATATGTGTTTCACAGGCCCCGGCTATTACATGCTGTACTCCAAAGACCGTTAACAGCTTGAGTGGGAGATTGCTATCTATCATGGCAACAGACAGCCACCTATCAAAGAAAATGTACAGCATCTGAAGAAGTGTGGTACAAAAAAGAAATGAATACCAAATTGCCATGAAGTTCTGAGCTAAAATAAAAAAAAACAAAGATAAGCCATAGATCAAAGCAATATTCTGCCTATCAAACCTGTCTTTGAAAGGTTTAGCTTTCATTTTCATTGCTTTTCATTTGAAGTGTCATTGAAATCAGCACTATTTACTTCCAAGTAAATGTGTCTGGGATAAAGGCCCCATGTTCTGTTCATGCCACTAGACTTCCTTGGGGGAAATAGCTGAGGAACATCTGCAAAATAAATGTAAAGAGCTGGATGGCCATCTGTCATGGATGCTTTAGCTGAGATTCCTGTATTGCAGGGGGGTGAACTAGATGCCCCTCATGGTCCCTTCCAACTCTATGAATCTATGACTTCAGG